TCTAATAAAAGATCAGTGATATTAGCGAGCGTCCCAAATCCTTAATGTGAGCACTTGACCTTGCCTTCGAGAAATATGTGTTTTCTCATACTGTCGTTGAAGAAAACACGCTTGCGCAACCCCTTGCGAAAATTATCATTTGATTCAACGTTGCAAGCACGTAAATAATTAGACGAAAAATAGTAATTTTAGCAGGATTTTTAATATTATTGTACTCATACCAAGAAAGAAAAAATATCATTGATTTAACATTTATATAAAAAATAGAAACTTGAGTTGATTTAACATTTATATAAAAAATAGAAAAATTTATAAAAAATAGACTTTTTAGAATTGGTAGGTTGCGGTTTTATTAGGGAATTTTAGATTTTCAAGATAATAAAAAATCTGGAAGTACAATCGTTAAAAATAAGGTTCAATCTATAAAGTGAAAGTCGTCCAAACTTTGTAAAATTCTAATTATCTAAATTCGTTGAAGAACTACTAACGAAGCTGATAACGACATTCTGGCTTGCATATTTTACACTATTAAATATATCATTTGCAATGAGAAATAATCTCTAATAATATTGTCAATGCATAGTATATACTACAATATATATTGTAAAGCTTGATTTTATAAAATGATTCTTATCGATCGATTTTATGATGTTTGAGTGCCATACAAGAAAATTAATGGTGGGTAATAGAAAAACTTTCTCATTTTTCTTGCATTTTTACTACATTATGACGAATGTATTACCTTTAAAAAATACTTCTACTTTGAGAAATACTGCGTGTTTCAAATGGGAATTTTTAGCTATAACTATAAGTGTGGAACTAAGTAGTAAATAAAATACAAAAATATTTATTCAAACACAAATATTATAAGCGTGTAAATTATGTTTGGCAATACTTTTCACCCCGAATGATAATAGTCTATGGTAATTTTTAACTCATTTAAATAATTACAGTGCGTTTGTTTATATATGGGCTTGTATTCCTATCCTTGTTTATTCGAACAATTTTCAAGATCAAATTTATTAATATTGATTAAAAAAGCAAAACGAATTATTTAATCAATTTAATTACAGTATTTTTATATTAATGATATACATTGAAAGGAAATATTTTTGACATCTTTAAGGTTCTTAATTAACTTCCCGTAGGGCAAGTTATAGTAATCGCAAAAAAATCAAAAATGGAATTTTTTATATATCTTTACGTTTTAAAACCTTTTGAACATTTTGGCATACCTTAGAAAAAATGGATGTATGTGTGTGTGTATGTGTGTGCGTGTGTATGTGTGTGTGTGCGTGTATGTGTGTGTGTTCGGATACAAATTTTCGTCGACGATTTCGGGAACACGGATCAACCGATTTGAATAATTCAAAAAACATTCGATTCGTATTGATAAGGAGACGTGCTGATTAGTTTTTGGCGAAGGCAGGTCTAGCCATTCCGAAGATACGGGGCAAAAATGCCGAAAACGGTAACTCAGTTTTTAAGAGAACGGAGCGTGACTTGTATTGACAAGATGAAGAGCTGATCAAATTTTCATGAGGGCAGGTCTAGCGGTTTCGGAAATCTAACGAAAAAAGTAAAAAAAAGCCATTTTTTTAAAAAAAAAGTAATTTTTTGTTCAATTTATAGTTTCTAAAAAATTTAATTTTTTCGAAGTAATTTTTTTTCAAAAATGTTATTTGTTTTTAAAAAAATAATAATTTTTGATACGGAAAGTTCCAGCAATTTGTCTTAAGGCACGATGCCATGCGCCCCACTAGTTTTCAATATTGTTATGAACAATATAGCGGCATGTCTAATATTGTTTCCCTAAAAATAAAAAATAATAGAGAATTTTTTTTCAAATTTTTGAATAATGTATTGTCTAGTATTGCCTCTTTAAAAAAAAAAAATAACTAAAATCTTCCGAATTTTCGAACAATCTATCATAAAATGATTGCAAACTCTATTTATAACGGATATAGACGTATAGTGATCTAAAATATAAAATTAAAGTTGTATTGTTTCGAATAAGTAATCTATTATGAATTGAATTATTTGATGTAACTTCCTTTAAAAATGATCATACCTCATTTCAGAAATAATAGCACGGACGTGCAAAGTTTCCTGATTGAATTTTATAAATGTGTTGTACTCAGCTGCTCAGCTTTCCGCATTATTTCTATGTAGTGGGTTTGCTCTATTCTGGGACTGGCAACCTTCTGTCGCCGTAGAACAAAATTATCAAACCAAATTATTTTAAAATATAAAAATGAAATATAAATGTATTATTTTTTCGATCTACTAGTTCCCGTAATGTTTCCGTTGATGTCTGATATGTCAGTCTGATATATTTTGTAAATTTTGTATTAATTTGTTATTGCAAATTGAATAAACTTAATTGTACAAGCTTCTTGTGTTCTTATCTTGATACTTTTACATAAGACGCGATTTTGACAAGAAGTTATACAAAATTTAAGTTAGTTAATATATGTAATCAACAACATCGAACCGCTTGGCATAAACTAACATATAATTAATATTATATCAGGAAGAAGCACATAGAAGAAAAGACAAATTTGTATGTTTTGATTTCATTAATAAATTTTAGATTTTCAAAATCAATAAAGTCAATGTATGAACCTAAAGTCGTCAAAATATTACAACTATGTTTATTTTGTGCAACAAAAAGTTACACAAACGAAGTTTATAATTTTTCATTATACATTAATTCAGGCGTCATTGTTACAACACTCGAAAAGCTTTAATTAAACATGTTTATATAACATTCATGAAATTGGGCGTTGTTTTTAATTAATAATATATTGGGAATAGTATTCGCGTGTAACTAGAGTACGTAATCAAATATAATATGGTAATTAACGTTCAGAAGGTAGTTCATGTTTTTGCCAGAAAATCCGTCGAGCTATTTTTATGTTTTCTCCACGTTTCAAGTAATTCTGAATTGTTTGGGATCGAAATCGGATATAGTATGTATGTGAGCCAAAATTTGCCTTTTGTCGACGTTCTCTCTAAAACGGGTACATCGATTTCAATAAATTAAAAGCTGGTAGATTAGTCCATTAATTGATAGATAAGTATAAAAGTTTTCGTCTACCTTTTACTCAAAAAATCTGAATGCGATTTTGAAAATTTAAACAATGTACGAAAGATGTCAGTTGAATTAGTCTTCAGGCAGTTTCAGCTAACTTAATGGCTAGGCCATTGATTGTTAATTTTTTGTGATTTTGATGAAACGTTTCATGATGGTAGAGTTCATTCTAAGCGAATATTATAGGCTTGTGGCAAGTGATTTAGAAATTCATCAAAGTTTTGAATAATGAGCAAAGCCTTCAGAATATAAGGCGTGTATGTATTGGGGTCCCCAATAACCAGCATGCGTTCATTTTTGTTCAATAATATATATTTAAAATAATAGTTGAAATAACTAAAATTCGGCAAATATGCATAAATTTCTTACATTACGCCCTACAGCTACTTGTTATACCCATAAATCAATCATAAATTGATTTTTTGGTTCCTTATTGGTTAGGTCGATTATTTACACAGATATCGGGAAGTTCGTTTAACTTGTTTTGATGCAAAGTACCTATCATTCACATCTAGTTAGTGACGGGACTTAATTCATAGGTCCCGGGTTCGATACCTACTTCGAGCAACCTGTTATTAAGCAGTAGTGACAACGGTTTTCACTTGTAATTATAAATAACTAGCAAACCCGACGAACTCCGTTTCGCCAGCAAATGGTTTCGTGAGAACGATGAAGAATTTTTTTGTTTGTTTTATATTATATTTGAAAAGGAAAAATTAGATTTTATTACACAACAGTAATGAATTTATTTCGATTACAAAAATGAAGTGTTTTTCAGTTGAACTTCTCTAAGTAAATGGAAGTGAATCCGCAAATTATCCGTTTCATTAAAGTGCTCTTTGGTAAACCACATTTTTTGTTTTTTGGTCTGACGTTAACACAAACAAAGCGGATGGTTTTCCAACTCGTGAACAGGCAACTTATAACTGCCCATGTAAAAAACAATGATTTTCTAAATAATAACTTTTTTTCTAAATTGCTAAGCGATTGGCCTTGCGACTTGTTAATGCGAACGCAAGGCGAACTGAAAATTGCAATCGTTTGAATTCAAACGGAAGACCAGTCGGAATCATTGGTATGTCACCAAATCGCCAGCAATTTTTGATTGAATGGTGAAATTCAGTGCGTGTACATTATTATTCTTTGCAGCAAGAATTGCTCGTTGACTTAACCAAGCATAATTCTGATAATTCTCGCTAATATCATTACTCGAATGTTTAATTACGGTGCATGAAGTTCCAGCAATTAGCATTAAGGCCCCTTTGCCATGCACCACTAACTTTCTGCAAAATGCAAAATTGTCGAAATCGGTTCGTGCGTTCTGGAGTTATATCGTCAGGAAGGAAAACCCGATTTATTTTTATATATATGTAGAACGTAATATGTTTTCAAGTGATAATAGCCTTATTGTTAGACCGGCATTGCTGCAATATCCCAATTAGAATGACGACAGGGAGATTGTCTTCTAATAGCGTTCAGAATAAAAAATAAAAACTGTGATTTCTGATAGAGTAAGGACAATCAATGGATTGCCTGTTAACAACAACATCGTCTTAGTAATAAACAGTGTTTAGTAGAGCTGTAAGTCTGATTGCTGTAAAAAACACAGGTGTAAAAAAACATACATCTAGTTTGATAAGTGATTCATTGATTATTGATGATTGCTGAACAGAAGGCATCTCCAGGAACAATGTCTATTTTCATTCAGGTATGTCTTCTCTAATCTTGTTCATCTACAATGACACAAAATAACTGATATCATATCATTTTAATATTTCAGTTTCCTGCCTCTGCCTCGCTCAAATAGAATTTGTATACATGCGCAATGGTCAGTATGTTTCAGCGATGTAGTATTCTGTAATCGCGAGGACGAATATTTTCATCAGTCGTATTAAGTGCTAGCCAGTGCCGCCATGTCTGAGGTAAATTTATAGAAAACGATTTCTAAATTAAAATTCACGTAAACATGGATGAACACACAGCACCATTCGATTCGATTTTCTTGCTGAGTTTTGTGCAAAAATCGCGATTGCCGCTTTCTATGATTTCCTTTTCGTTTTATTACTGTTGTTTTCATGTAGTTTTATGTGCTTGGTGGGTAATTATATAGTGCTAATGCTCTCTAAATTATTCTTGTTATTGTAATAATTATATAAACATACACACGTGCTATAACTGTTTGAATTCCAATATATACATATATATATATATATATATATATATATATATATATATATATATATATATGTTTCAACGTCGAAAAAACTATCAAGATATATATATATATTTGTATATATATATATATATATATATATATTTGTATATATAATAGTCATTAAAATTATACAACCAAACTTTTACCATATTAAATATAAAAAATAATATTTTTTGAAATTGTTTTATGATCTAATATAATTAATTAAAATATTATTAATTTATTCCTATAAATTTATAATGGGTGCCAAAACAAAATAGTTCGTAACTTTTATTTGATATACGTATATCTATAAAACATATATTATAAGTAAGTATAATCATATATAAGTAAGTATAATCATATTTAAGTATAATCATACTATATAACTACTATATAAATATATACTATATAAATATAATCGTAATATATAACGATACATATTTGATCTAATTGTAAGAAATAAATTTCATCATTAAATTCGTTCATAATTAATTTAATATTACATTTAATTTCAATTTTATTAATTTTTATAATTTAATTTAATTACAAGATGTTGTAATATACAACTAACTTGTGATTTTTCGATACATAGATACAACTAAGAACTTAATTTCTTATTATACCAATATTCATGGTTAAAATACCATTATTTAATTCTATAAAGACAATATGTCGTTTAAAAGTAAAATTTTTATAAAGTACATAACCAGGTAAATAAATGCTTTAGCTTCTACAATTATTTTAGAAACAAATAAATATGACGACAATACACTTACTATTACAAGATATTTTTTTAATGCAAATAGCCACAAAATATAAAAAAGCCAATATATAATTTTTTAAATTAAAGAAATTAAATTTGTGATGTATAACTTTTTTTAATGGACAAAGTTGAGTTCAGAACGTTGACTAAAACTACGAATTAAATATACTTCAATGTTAATTTTTCAACATGAAACATATATGTTAAAAAACTTAAATGCAGAAAATTGAAGTAATTGTATAGTTTGTATACCATAACCAAGTCACGACATGTCTTTATACGTTAATATCTTTATATAAGTTATTAAAATATTATAATGATGCTTTTGTTTAATTTAATTAGGTTTTTTAAAAATACAATTTAAAATTTTTAAATATATGCACAATACTATATAAGCGATATGAAAGAAAAACTTGTATAACATTACAATCACAAAAAAACGTTCTCTACAAATTTACAGATTAGAATTGGTAGTTGTAATAGTTGATTTTTGTAAAGCCAATTATCAGTCACAAATTTATTGATTCTATATTCTATTATTTTGAAGTTCAAGGTTTGTTGGTCTCATATTAAACTAAGTGTCCTATATTTATATAATCCACATAAATATAAATATAACTAAGTGTCCTATATTTATATGTAATTTTTGTCTAGTAGATTATTTATAGTCTACTATTCACTTACTTATTTATCAGCATTATTTTTATAATACTAATAAATTGGGGTAATTTATTCTAAATCAGTGTAAACTTTTTCGTAGAGCTTTCAATTAGCTATTATTATTGGTTACATGTCGGCTTATATTTATACTAAATTTTTACTTGAATTTAATCAACAATATTCATTATATTATCAATAACAAAAGAATATCAACTGTTTTGTAATGAACTATCTAGAGAATATATTTTTGGATTTGATTTATCAATGGTTTGTGGCGATAACACTGACAATGAAAATTGAGATTTATTTAACAATCATTTACTTAACAGTTAATTACTACTTAGTAAAACTATCATTTTAAATTAATTTCAATGACATCAAGATTGCTAAAATTATCGTAAAACTTTTATATAATTATGGATATTACCTAAAAATATTTTAAACTGTACGAGTACTTGTAAATTGCCAATTTTATGAATCACATGACCCACAAATATATTAAAGCGTGATTCAATAATTGCCAAGGACATAAATTGAAATTTGGCAAACGTAATTTATAATCCTAATCAGTTTTTAACGAGATTTCTTTCTAACTAATTGCCTTTAGAATATTTTAATCGATTTTGAAATGATAGGAGACTTCTTGTTGAGTATATATGTTTAAAAATAATAAGGTTAAATTGGCGCTGGTGGTAAATTATATTTTTGAAGTGAGATAAGTTATATATAATAATATATAATAGATTAGTATATCTCATGATAATTATTTATTACCACACATAAATAATTAAAATTTAAAAAAAATCCAAACTTTTATAAATAATATTTAACTATTCTTATACTCAATGAGAAATTTAAATAATAAATGGAATATATAATAAATAATAATAATAATATATAACTAATGAACAGGAATTAAACTAATGCCAGGCGGTAGTGATAATAATCATAACAGCTAAACTAAACTGATTTTGAGATACCCTATCTCAAAGGGATAGGGATGAAAATGAAGTATGATTGTTCGAACAAGTTTCCATTATTGCGTTTAGTCAGTGCTCTACATCAACATAATCTATGGACTGCATAGCTTTTAAAGAGTGGAAAGTAATTTTTACATTCTTTTAATAATTATTCTTAATTTATACAAATAGATCACTTTATTATTTTGCAGTAAGTTGAACATTGTTGATTATTTACTAGCAATTCGTTTTTGCTTAGATAATTTACCTCAGTCATAATGATGATTTGTTTTCGAAAATGTGCGTAGGGTACGGTTGTGACATGTATTTTTTGTCATTTTCGGGTGAATTTTAAACAGATAAAATCAAATTTGACAAATCTAACTTGGATAATTCTAAGACAAAATGCGAAAGACAAAGAAAAGTAAAATTCAATATTCAAGATTAAAAAACCACAAAGAATTATTTTTAACTTTGTTTAAAAACATTTGTTTTGTTATATTTTCTTCATAAGCTTTGTTTAAATTATTATGTTGTGTTACATATTTATGACAATAAAAGTAGTTATAAACCATTTCGGTGTTTATAGCTATTGTTTTTTAACCTATTTTTATGACTGCTACAACCGTCCCTGGGTTGGTGGCGGTTGTGACACTCGCCCTTTTCTAGTATAATTTGATTTTATGACTTCATCGTATTTAAGGACAGTATTAAAGTATTTCCACGTAGACAAATGTACAAATTACCATTTATGTTTAATTACTGGTAATTTAATTACTGGTCATTTAAAATAAGCAAATTATGTCTGAAAAAAGTGGTAGAACCGTACCAAGTCTACCCTATTTATTTATTTTTATGCTTTGCGTGAGTGTAATAGCAAATTTAAGTAGAATTTATAATATCAATTTAATTTTCATGTCGTTCTATTTTCATCTACAACATATTTTTATCTCTTACCAATTTATTATTTATCGGTAATGATTTATATCAGTTATATACGACAGAAACCATAATAATGTAAGAACATAGTCTATTATTATGATATTAAATTACGATGAACATATTACAAATTGGATTTTAAGAATAGGTTTTACTAAAATAAATTATTGTAATTTGAAAACTTTTGTTATCGGTAAATTATTTTACCAACTCTATTTTGGGCATAGGTATTTTTATTCATCTTATGAAATTCGATGAGTTTAGCCAAGAAAAACAATTACATAATTATCTTACTTCTTAAAATAATACGATGATCGGTAATAAAATCTACTCATATATATATATATATATATATATATATATATATTCAATAGATAAGTCCTGGATTTTTTCAATATATTGATTGTTTCTTTTCCGAACAGTAAATCCAATAATAAAAAACAATTTGTTTTTTGAAGATGTTTAATACGACGTTTCGGAACTAGGTACGTTCCATCATCAGGTTTATTCTGTCAAATACAATGTTTTTTAAAATACTGATTAACATTAATTAACAATGGTCAATACAGATTAATTAGAAAAAAATTTTGTTATAAAGGAATGGATTATGTACCGGATAGATAGTAATAAGACTTAACTAAAAAAGGTTTTATATAAAATTGAGAAGCAAAAATTATTTACCTGTAATAATTTATATATCCATATCACTAATATTTTTTTGTTAAAAACACTCGATTTTTTTGGAAGATATTTGTAGATGTTACGACTACACAAGACTTAAACACACTGATATGGATTTCTGTCTGCCAGATGTAAAGGACAAAGCACGGAACTCTTGGCAAAAATGATTTTTTATGGCTCTTGTTTGGTAATTTACGAAAAAAGGAAAAATATTGCTTTAGTAAATGTTGAGAAATATTATGTATATATATATATATATATATATATATATATATATATACATACATACATGAACCTGTATATGCACACCTAACATCTACAAATATCTTCCAAAAAAACATCTTGTAACATCTACAAATATCTTCCAAAAAAATCGAGTGTTTTTAACAAAAAAATATTAGTGATATGGATATATAAATTATTACAGGTAAATAATTTTTGCTTCTCAATTTTATAATAAAACCTTTTTTTAGTAAGTCTTATTACTATCTATCCGGTACATAATCCATCCTTTATAACAAAATTTTTTTCTAATTAATCTGTATTGACCATTGTTAATTAATGTTAATCAGTATTTTAAAAAACATTGTATTTGACAGAATAAACCTGATGATGGAACGTACCTAGTTCCGAAACGTCGTATTAAACATCTTCAAAAAACAAATTGTTTTTTATTATTGGATTTACTGTTCGGAAAAGAAACAATCAATATATATATATATATATATATATATATATATATATATGATTGAAACTTAATACATATATCCTTGTCGGACACATATACTACTAAGTTTGTTTGTTCGAACATATTATTTGATATATTTTAACACTTAATTTATTAAAAATGAATGAATTCTTTTAAAAATCATAGAAAAATATGACATTACTCTTTATTATTTCTAATCAAAAATAATTAATAAGATAAGATTTCTCTCGATTGAAAAATCTATATAATCTAATATATACACATCTACATATGTCTATATATATAACAATATTTTCGTACATATATTTATAAATTAACCGTTGTTATACAAAATTTAAGTAATACATACCATACGTTCAAAATTTGAATTTTTTATAATATTTTCAATAATTTTATAAGCAACCATAATTTCTAAATTTTTAATGTACATATATTATGACCATAAATGGATATACAAATTTATTGTGTGCGGCCAGCCCATAGTATAGTAAGATTAATCCTTAATAAAAGTACATATACTAATTACAATTGACATGACATTTCATGTTCTCATCTTTTGTTTATTTTGGTCACATATCTAATTTTGTTTTCAATTTCCAAATGTATACAAAATTTATATAGAAACTTATATATACTTAATTTAAAATAAATGTCTTGAAATAATTATTAATATATTGACTCTTTACGGCAGTGGTGTCCAACCTTTTTTGCACCCCCCCCCCTCTCGTTCTAATAAAAAAAATAGATACGTTAGTTTAATTTTTTCATCAATTTTATAAATACTCAACTGATATTATCAAACTTCAAATTAACATGCAATATTATGCAAACATATGCATAAAAAATAATAGTTGATTCATTTTTTATATCAATTCAAATGTTTTATGTTTATTTTCTAAATTTGTATTTTGCGCCACTAAAGGACCGCGCCTCATAGGTTGGAAACCAGGCTTTATAAAAAATGTTTCTATCATGAATCACTAAGTATTATTACTGTTCAAAGTAATCTAAATCTGTTATTAAAATGAAATATTATTAAGTATTATGATATCAATCGCTCGGTGCCTGAATATATTCACTATTACATAAATTATTAAATTTGGTGATTTTTTTCATAACGCATAATGACTAAATAAGATATGTTCACTATGGACCAATGTTTAGAAGTCTATTACGTTAATAAATATTACTTATTTTTTAATAAAAAGTATAATTTAAAAATATATATCTAAATTGCGAGCTAGCAATTTGTATATCTTTTACTAAAATGTAATTTATTTATATTTAAAATTATTAAGTCAACATGAAAATCTTACCAAAAAATGTTAGATGAGTCTATTTCGTAGAGTGATAAAACTCTTGTTCCTAAAATTTGTAAACTATGTATGTATTTTTTTTACCCTTACTCGTATATCAGTCATAACTTGTTCTAATATCAATATTGAAGTAACTATAAATATTAATTTTAAATTATTATTTCACTAAATCCAGAGCTTGAAGCAACTGCCAGTAATCTGGGTTTTAGGTGGACCTGGATCGGGCAAAGGAACCCAATGTGACAAAATTGTTGCTAAATATGGATTCACCCACTTGTCTACTGGTGATTTGCTCCGAGCTGAGGTAATACTCAAATTTATTACATATAAAGCATACATTCTAGAAAAAAAATTCACTAATACCTACTTGAAATTCTAGCGGGTTTCTTTCTTAGAATTATAGTACATTGTAAGGAAAGAAAGCAAAAATTATAGAATTTATCTCTTCTCTACATATTAATCGATGTTTTTAATCATTTTTTATGACATCGATTTATATTTTAGGTACAAAGTGGATCAGACAGAGGCAAAAACCTCACGGCTATCATGGAGAGAGGAGAACTAGTACCCATGGACATAGTACTTGACTTATTAAAAGAAGCTATGACTAAGGCCTTGCCCACATCTAAAGGATTCTTAATTGATGGATATCCTCGTGAAAAAGATCAAGGTTAAAAAATGACCAAAATAAAATTATTGATTTTATAGAGAATATAAAAAAAAATCTTATAAAGCTAACGTTTAAAAAAAATAAAGAAACAAGAAATTAAAAGTGAGAACATGAAATTTTGAATAATTTTTATGATGCTTCAAAATTTTGATATATTTAAACAAAAAATACTATTCGTGTGGTGATCTAGCAAGGTGTGCTAAAGATCTTGTTACTTTTGAGCCAATGGACCTTATTTTCATTAACGATTTAGCAAAAACAATAAGAACATTTTTTGATAATTTCTAATTTCTAATCTTGATTTTTATTTATCTTTTATTCAGGTGTGGCTTTCGAAAACCAAGTGACGCCTGTAAACACAATTTTATATTTCGAATGTAAGCCTGAAACATTGGTCGAACGTCTTTTGGGACGTGCAAAAACTTCTGGCCGAGCTGATGACAATGAAGAGACCATCAAATTGCGCTTGAATACTTTCAATGCCAATAATGACCAAGTTTTGGCCCTATACCCAGACAGACTGAAGAGGGTAAGATAATATTTATTACATATTTTTGTAATGTATCGAAATTGTTAGAATATTTCTACCTAACAAAATGAACATAATAATTTCATTATAACATTATGTTTAAGGTTTTTATTTTTTCATTATAACGGCATCCGGATGAATCCTTATCGTCATAAAACTATTTATATTATAAACCAAGATACTTAAATCTAATACTAAGCAATCTATTTTATAAATATATTTTACAAAGTTTTACGGAATCTATTATAATATTGTATATTTATGGTGATTGTTGATATTCTGTAGAAATCTCAGACGAACCGATTGAAATTCATATATAATATTTTTTTAATTAGTTGAAGATGCAAGCTTTTATTTATTAAGTGTCTACTTTCTTTTCAAATACTTATGTTTTCAAAACGTGATTAAACAGGAGTGGTCTAGACAGATGATGTCATAAAATAATCTGAAGCATTCAATATTATATTGTGAATTACTGTAGTTCCTGAATTTTATGATTAGATAAGGTTGAATCATCAAAATTACTTTTTATAAGAGCATATGACAATTCCCGTTTCAAGTGCCTACTTAATAAAAGTATCTATCGAAAACGTTAGTAAATTCAGTTGGTTGGATTTTTTTAATCAATATCACTCCTTGAGAGTTGATATCATCATACACCTATAATGCAAAGTATTTTGAGTTATAATTTTTAGTAAATGCTTAATTTATATTAAGTATTTTTTTTTTTAATTTTCATTCTTTGGAGTTTAAATTTTCATCCCGTACCCCCTAAACGTAGGTAGAGATCATAATTTTTAAGAAACTTGGCAAATTATATTAGCAATCCAGATAATTAAGCACATTAATCATTATTAAATTTTTCTATAGAGTTTAAAAATATAAAACTTCTGTTGATTTCATCTTTTTCAATTGAAACGTTTCAAATATTTCTCAAAGTATAATAGTAAGACACTGTGGGTACCTACTTCTAATGTGGGTAACCTACCATGAGTACGTTTGTACCTATTATAATAGGTACTTTTAATAAGTTTAGTAATTATTGCACATATTACTATGTTAGAAAGAAATAAGAAATATATAATTATTTTTCCTTCCATATGTTTAAAAATTGAACTTCTCATTTCAGATAAACGCCGAAAGGCCAGTTGATGAGATCTTTGCGGAAGTAGTTGCATGTATTGACAACCTTTTGGCCACTTTCAAAAAGTAAAATCTTCAAACCGAATATTTTACTGATAATTTTACTTTTGTATATAGCCGTCGGATACTCTATTAAATACCAAATATATAGCACAATGTCATATGTTATGTTCAAAATATCTAAAATGTTCAAACTTTTGCACAATATGATCTAAATAAGATAAAATAATGAAACAAAGTACTATGGATACAAATATTATATATTTGAATTTATTTAATTTTACATCAATTTGATCAAGTTGATTTATGATTAGATTAATATTCGTATAGTAAATATAAGTAAGCAATTGTCGAATAATTATATCTTATATGTTATTTATTTATTTAAGAAATGTTATAAAAAATTCAGAGTCTAGTTGAATCGAAATTAAAACGTTAAAATTCGATATGGAGTTTTTGTCAAAAATGTTTAGTTTTATGTAAACCTAAGTTTCAGTAAGTATACGCTGATATTATATTTTAATTAATTTAAAATTTTTATAACATTTAATCAACAAAGCTATTAAAAAGTTTCAACGCGATTCCTAGAAAAAATAAAAACTACATTAGTGGTCAGTGATAACCTATAGGTTATATTATAAAGTTTAGCAAGTGCTTGAATTACAATAGAATAAATTTCTATTTTGTACCACAAATTTATATCAATTTCACATTGTTTCACTATTAAATCAATAGTAGTTAGCTCGATAATTTGGTCAGTTCATTTTAGTAGAAATTGAAATACAATGTAAATTGATTTGACTGTTATAAGTGGTATTTTACCCTAAGACATGCTGCATAAACGAGATTTAGAAACTTTTAAATTTGTTACAATAAAATGTTCCATATTCCAAGCTTTAATGTAATTTTATAAAAAATTCGCTTTTTGTATGTCTATGTCATTAATGGATGTTTGTTTAAATTAGTAGGATTTCCAAAGTAGTTAATATGAATTCTAAGGACTCCATGGTAAATTTTGGAAACCCACGTCAGCGAATAAAGCCACTAACTCTTTCTTTATACAAGGTTTCAACAAATTTGTCAAAAAAATATTAAACAATTAATTACAAAGAAACGTTTGGCCGATTTTTACTAAAAACTAGTCGCGTGCTTTCCAACTGATATCTTTCGAAAATTTGAAAAATCAGTTAAAAAATTATATATCAATTAGTTTTCAGAAAAAACTTTATATATCTTATTAAAACCTCTCAGAATTCATTTTTTATGATGCTGAAATTATTTACTTCAAATTATATCACAAATAAATTGTTTTTGATTCTAACACTGACCAGTTAAATGGGCTTGGTTAATTAAAATATATTTAAAATATTTAAAACATGTGTGTTTAAAATGAATTTAATTAATCTACTATTTGCATTTATTTACTTCCAGTAGGGTTAGTTATAGTGATGGGCCGAAAATCGAAAATGAAAATTTTTGCATATCTTTACGTTTTAGAGGTTTCTGAACATTTTGGCATATCTCAGAAAAAATAGATGTGTGTGTATGAATGTATGTATACAATTTTTTGTCAACGTTTTCGGGCGTACGGATTATCCGATTTGAATGGTTAAAAAACATTCGATTCCTAGTGATGAGGAGACGTGGTGATTAGTTTTTGACGAAGACAGGTCCAGCGGCTTCGAAAATATGGAGCATAAAGTGTTAAAATGTAAGTTTCGAAAAGAACGGCTTAACCGATTAGAATGATCTAAAAAACATTCGATTCGTAATGTTGGGGAGAAGTGGTGATTAGTTTCTTGGCAGGTCCAGCCGTTTCGGAGATGCAAAGCTAAATGTACAAAAAGTGGCAGTTTTTGAGAGAACTAAGCATCCGATTTGAATGATTTAAAAAACCTTACATTTTTAATTTGAAAATTTTTGTAGAAGCGTAATTTAAATAAAACAATGGACGGTGGCTAATACGTCAAATGTCAAACGCTTTTGATAGATGATGTTTAATAGGATGTTTTACGTGAATATTATTTAATTATGATTGAATTGTAGTAAGTAGATTTGTTTGTAGTTTTATTTATTTACAAAAACGTTAGTAAACGGGTCGCAAGTGTTACTAGAGACTCAAAATATCAACTTTTTTGAAATGTTAATATGAAAATGAACTTTTTGCATATTTTTGCTCAAACACGGTGCTCTGAAAGATCTCATTTGTATAACTATATACTCAATGATATTTATAAATCATTTTCTAGGTTATATTATTTTTTATTTATGTTATTTAAATTCAGAACCTAAATTTAGTATCGATCAAATGGACATTTTGTCGAATAACATTTTCCCAGTTATAATTTCCCAGAATTTATCGAAGAATAGATAGTAATATATAGCGGTCCGGGGTCAAAAAGGTCTGCTGCCGATGTGTCAAAAATGAGTAAAATTAAGCATTGTTTAACAACAATATTTGAAAGTAGAGGAAAAAAATGTATAACCAGCTATAACCTTGATTTGAAAACGGTAATGTTTGAAATGGGGGAGATAAACGGTAATCTCTGAAAATCTATGAAAAAAGTATTTTCTTCCGTTGGTAGTTTTTTAGCATTAGTTAAAAATGTAATTATTTTGTAAAATGCTTTTAAAATTATAATAAGGTTTTAAATCTTTTTGCCATCTGCCCGTTTCAAGTTACCCCGTCTATAGGGTAAAAAGGTCTAGGTAGGTAAGGTTTAGAATATACCTTACTTAGTAAAACTACGTTTGCCGGGTCAGCTAGGTATAAATAAAACTATGAATATTTTTTGAAAAACATTTATTTCAAACTGCAAAACAATAAACAATAAATGATAAGAATTCTAGGAATTATTTATTGAATGTTTTATTAGCGCTGACAGCCAGATTCTTTTGTATACTTTCCTCCATCGCTGCATTTATATACTTGAGGGTACAAGCTCTTTACACCATCATCAACTTTTGTTTTGCAGATGTAATAGAAATGATCATCTCCTGGCCATGGGCCGTTTTCTCCAGCTCTTTGGCAGTCTACTGCGAGATTCTTGCAAATCTCGGAATCCAAGCTTGAAGTGCACGTTCCAGTTACGACATCGAATGCATTTTTACCAACGCATTCTTTTAATATTCCATCAGCTCCTTTTCCAGTACAGAAATAATACCTACAAATATCAGGCAGAATTATAATACATCTTATACATGTATATAAAAATGAATCGCAAAATGTGTTGGTAAGCGCATAACTCAACAACGCCTGGACCAATTTGGCATTTTTTTTTTTTTAATGTTTGTTGAAGTCCAAGGATGGTTCTTTTCTTTTTCACATACAAACGTTTTCCAACTAAAATGTAGAATCAATTTGAGCTTTAATTTTTTCATAATGCGTAAATAAATTAGGCGAATTAGAGAATTTATAAAGGTAAACTGGATGATATGGAAAATGGTAGACAGAAGAACTGGTAGATAGACTTACTGGTAGACCGGTAAAATGGTAGATTGATAAACAGGTTGATACGTAAATTAGTAGACAAATTGTTAAAAAGGCTAATTGTTCAACAGGTAAATTATTGAACAGGTTAATTGGTAAACATTTAGAACGGGATGATAGGCAAATTGGACAACAGGTAAATTGGTTGACAGGTAAAATGGTGTATTTGATGAACAGGTCGATAGGTAAATTGGTAAACAGGTAAATTGATAGACATTGATAGACATTGGTAAACAGGTGAATTGGTAGACAAGTAAGTTGGTGAACAGGTAATTTGTTGGATAGCTGGTGGTCAGGTAAATTAGAGAATATGTGATATGGTAGACAGGACAACTGGTACATAGACAAATAACAAGACAAATAAACAGGTTGACCGGTAAATTGGTAGACATGTGAAACGAGTTGATAGGTAAATAGGTTGACAGGTAAATTGGTATGTCGGTAAAATGGTAGATTGATTAACAAGTTTATAGGTAAATTCGTAGACAAATGGTTGAATAGGATAAATTGTTGAACAGATAGTAGTAACGTTAAACTAAATATAATAAATACACATCTTTGTTCAACTTTTTAATTTAAACTAAATCACGGCAAAGCGTGAACGGGTACAGCTAGTTACAATATATTATTACGTCTACATACGGTAGACATAATAATACATTGTAGCTACGAGGTACATATATTTCATTAGTTTTGATACAAATACGTGTGTTAAGTAAGCAGAAATGGAAAATATACTATGGAAATAAATAGTTTTTATTATCAATTCTAACATCAATTCAATATGTTGCAATAATAATATATTACATACCGCTGACTTACTAATAAATTTATAGCTAAATATTTTCGGTACAAGTGCTTCTTACAAAAGAAGGTTTCCTATTTTCAAAATAATTGTATTAATACTGTTAACATTTTTATGGCTGTTGATAAAATTACCTACAGTAGACCTACAATATTGAAAATGTATTGAAACTATGTAGGCAACTTATAATACTTTTACTGAAATAAAAGATACTACGGTATCTTTTATTTCTGTACCTCCAAGCATCTTAAATATGCATTTTCTGAATTAAATGAAATTTATCTTTATTTTTATTATTGTAGACGCAGTTACGCAATTGGAAAGCATTGGGAAAAAAGGAGTTTCAATAAAAATTGTTTTTGTTAAAATTATAAATGCAAATACCGGTCCATTGAAGAATTTTCCAAGGAAAGATGCAAAGCATTATCCCTACAGGTTAAAGGGAAACTGAAAGTTATAAATGGACAGGTAGATATGTTTTCATACTTATTCTGTTAATTAAATAAATAAATGAAGGTTACAACGTTAATTTCCTAAATAGTTTATAGCGCAAAATCTTTATTATAAACCTGAAAACATTCATCCCTCTATAAAACTTCGGTGAAATAATTAATAAATGAATATTGGCTGTTCATCTTTACAAATGCTATTTATGATCAGAATTTTGTAAATGTGTTGATTATTATTACAATTTTTTATTACCTTTGGCAGTCGTAGGGGTCAGGAAATATTCCTTCGTTGTCGCATTGCATGGTGCCTGCAGAACTGCATGCTCCAGGTTTGGAAGAGCATCCTCCTTCTCTCAAATTGCAAAATTGGCCATCAGTACATGTATCAACGTCGACATTTAGCCATCTGTACCCGTCTTTGAGACAGAGAGAAACACTTTTACAATCTTCCGAACAAATTAATCCTGGGCTATTTCTTCGCTGGCAATCTGTCTCCTGACGAGCCGAAAACCCTTCCGATAGACATACCCCAACCTTTGGAAGTAATTTGATTTAATTAAATACGGATTTGATTTTTAACTTGCTAATATCAAGATAAATTTATTTTTATTTATAGTTACATTCGTAAAATGAAATATTCTATAAAAACTCACTTACCAATAAAACTGCTAAAGATAACAGTATTCCATGCATTGTTGCAGATTAACAATGTGAAACTTATTATCTTCAATTTTACTTTCACAAAGAGCATAACTGGCTTTGGTAAAGTATTTATTTATATATACCTAACATATCTAATCTTAATCGATTCAAGTGCAATATAAATGACTGCAAATATAGTTTTATAAAAGTTGACCAGATAAGATACAAATGTAACCGTTTTCTATTTTATAACTTTAAGTCTAATAAAGCCATTCCCATTTTTATAATACTACTACTTAAGAAATATTAAAGATAAAACAATGTATGATATTTGATCTAGAAAAAAGTGTTAACTGTTGGATACAAGTGCTTATGCCTATACACCATTTATATGTAATATCATAGTGTTCAACCTCGAAGAAATAATTTAAAATTAAAACTAGCTGTAAGTGGAATTCTGTCTTAAGGCAATTAAGGCATCGTGCCTTAAGGCAAATTGCTGGACCAAAAATTATTATTTTTTTAAAAACAATTAACATTTTTGAAAAAAAATTACTTTGAAAAAATAAGATTTTTGAAAAACTATAAATTGGACAAAAAATTACTTTTTTTTGAACAAAAAATTTAAAAAAAAAAATTGTTTTTAATTTTTTTTTTTGAAAAAATATTTTTTTTTATTTTGACATATTGTGGAAGATCTGAACTTTCTTTTCAAAGCAATCGTACTGCTTTAACTGCATAGGGACAAAATATAAAGCGCGTAAGCGCCGCGTCGCTGTCTAACGCATAAGCATTGGTACGGAACCCATAGGAATATTGACAAAATGTATACTTATTATTGAAATCTCTATAAAATATCTGATAATTTGATGTGCATATGTCTAATGATCATTTTTGACCGCCAAATGGCTCATTTTTTTACTTTTTCCTCCATATCTCCGAAACCGCTAGACCTACCTTCATGAAAATTTTATTGATTCTTCATGTTTTCAATACAAGTGAAATGTTTTCTGAATTATTCAAATCGGACGCTCCGTTCTCTTAAAAATTGAGTTACCGTTTTCGGCACTTTTTGCCCCGTATCTTCGGAACGGCTAGACCTGACTTCGCCAAAAACTAATCAGCACGTCTCCTTATCAATACGAATCGAATGTTTTTTAAATTATTCAAATCGGCTGATCCGTGTTCCCGAAATCGTCGACGAAAATTTGTATCCGCACATACATACACAAACGTACATACATACATACACACACACACACATACATCCATTTTTTCTAAGGTATGCCAAAATGTTCAGAAACCTCTGAAACGTAAAGTTATATAAAAATTTTCATTTTTGATTTTTTTGCGATTACTATAACTTGCCCTACGGGAAGTTAATTATAAACTTAAGAAAAAGAATATTTATATGTAATATAATAGTGTTGAACCTCGTACAAAGAAATTAAAATTAAAATTAAAAACTCAAGAAAAAGAATTTTAAAAATTATTGTCGAAGTTTCGGAACAAATTAGGGTAAGGTTGCACAAGTTGTACCTCCGCATAAGTCGTGCCTCGGCTATATTTTGTCTGATAATTGAAAATTACATCATTTTGTCCATTAAATAGAACTATTCAGTTGACTAAGCACTTTGTAAAGCAAAAATAATCAAAAAGTAATTGAGTTATGAAGTTTTGGACTCAGACTTTTAAGGCAATAATGTGATCCTGATTTTTGTTATTGACGATAGTGTTTATTTATATTTTAAAGCAAACGTTTAGGTATATTTAAATGGTAAATTTTCTAAGGTCATGCCAAAAACTTTATTGAAGTAAAACTTCTTTAGGCGCGACTAGGGTGTAAATCCGTACGGAGGTGCGTTACGACCGAGTCGATTGTGAATAGTCGTCGTGTATGTGAATAGAGATCTGTCGTTGTATGCGTACAGGCATCAACGTTGTGTGTGTACCGATATCAATAAGGAAATCGGCATAGATAAATAAACATTTTAAAGTTACATCATAGTACAAATCTTGATTTAATGAAAAATGCCTGAATCAGAAGAGTATTTTACCCTGTTCTTTGAAAATAATAAAACAAATTAAAAATTTGTGTCGTGTACTAAACCTAAGTTTATTTCTATATTATTCGTAGTTTCTATAAATCTTTGAAGTTATTAAAATGGAAAATATTTTTTAGGCAAGGCAGATATTACAGCTCTGCAAAGAATAAGATTATATCGCCAGCGGAAAAGTAAAAAAATACAAGCAGTCAATGAATGTATGTTACTTTTAATTACTTGAAGTTCTTCAATTACAATTACATGATGAGTGAAGTTGCGAAAACAATATTTGTTTAGGCGTTGTTTAATATAATCGACAGTGTAAACGAATATTATAGAATTTATTAATCAGCAATTACTTAATTTCTCTAATGAAGGTTCATTTCTAAATGCTAATTACAATGACAAACCGATCATGTCATATTTAAAATATGACTTTAATTACATTAATGTTTTTAATTATACAAATTTTAAATGCTATTATAAATATATAATTTATAATTTATCATTATATAAATGTGTATAACGGTTGATACTAATAAATGTGTGCACCACGAGTGTTACCATATTACTAATAAACATTATTCGAAGTTGTTATATGATGTATTTATTTGTACTTAAATGCCATCTTGTACAGTAGCAAATAAGTTTTACTTCAATCGCGTGTGAACCTTTCGCGCTCTCTTTTTTTAAACTTCGAAATTCTTGCAGCTTAAGTCGTGCTTTTGTGAAATTTCTTACATTTAATAAAAATAATTTAATGTGCTAAATGCAAATAAATAATGGAAAAATACAAGTTTCAATCTTATTTAAAAGCCCAAATTAGAAAACTCCAAGTGACTGTAAAAACGGTTTTATTTTCATGAATAGTTCCATCGCCTATATTCTTATCACCCAGGAACTAAATAATCTACATTCGTTAACTTTGAAGTTATTCTTCTACTTTACTGAAAAAAAGTTGATTTGAAACTGAATTCTATATTGTTTTTTAGTAGAAGCAAAGACTGAGCCCATAAGCGTGTACGACTAAGACGAATTGACGCCATAGTCGTATTGAAAACAGATGATTGAAAATCGTTAAATTATAGATTCCTTAATAATAATAGTAAGCCTATAAATAAAAATTCAATAAACGCCAAAGATTTCTCCTAATTTAAATGCGCTGAATATTCTTGCGTTATTTCCTTAGAGGGTACGAATTGAGCAACCTTATCCTACAATCATTGGAATACAGTTCTCAAGAGTCTGAGTAAGAGTAATTGCACTAAATAAATATTATAAGCTATAATTTATAGCATTATATTCGAAGGGGGCAGCAACCTTACCAACTAATAATAAAATTATACATAGTAATAGCATATATCAATCTTTATTAAATTTGATTAATCGAATACATATGTGGATATATTTAAATGTAATAAAATATATATGAATTATTCAAATCAATTCTTCTTGCAACCTTCTTCAGCAGTATATTCCAAGCCATCTTCGCACTTGTATACTTCTGGAAAAAGTATCCTTTTATCATTTTCTGTTTTTGCCTTGCATATATAATAGAATTTTTTATTCTGTGTGAAAGGAGCGCTGAATCCAGCAGTTTGGGTTTCACAATCAGCTTCAATTTTTTTACATGCCCCAAGTTCCCCAACTTTCGCAGTACAGGAACCATCCGCAATGTTAAAAGCTTTGTCGCCTCCACATTCTTTTAATATACCCTGTGCACCTTTTTCCGTACAAAAATAATATCTGTAAAAATAATGATTAAATACTCATATGTAAACTCTTGTATGTAACTGTGATTTAACTTTATTTTTCATTTATACTTGCTTTGAATGTATTTGCAGCAAATAGTTTGCTTTATTATATATTTATAGTAATGGACCGAAAATCGAAAATAAAAATTTGAGCATATCTTCACGTTGTTTCTGAACATTTTGGAATACCTCAGAAAAAATGGATGTGTGTATATGTGTGTGTGTGCATTTTTTTGTTTGCATGGATCAACCTATTTGAATGATTCGATATCTATTGATATTGAGATGTGCTGATTAGTTTTTGGCAAGGCAGGTCCAGCCGATACGGAGATACAGAGCAAAGAGGTCCAAAAATGGAAATCGAGATTTTGAGAGAACAGAGCATCCGATGTGAATGATCTAAAAAACATTCAGTTCGTAATTATGGGGAGAATTTTGGCAAAAGCAGGTCCAGCCTTTTCGGAGATACGGAGCTAAATGTACAAAAAATGGTATAGTTTTTGAGAGAACTAAGTATCCGATTTGAATGATTTAAAAAACTTTCTGCTTGTGTTGAAACGAATGCTTTTGGAAAAAATATATATTTTTATCAAAAAATTTTTTTATTTCAATTTTTTTTGTGTATCGAAAAGAAATCAACTTTTAATTTTAATTCTTGCTAAAGTTCTAAAGCTCACCAATATACTTTAAATAAATAATTTCAACTTTGCAATTTATTTTATATAATTCTTATAAATATTAGACAACGTTACAGTATTTATTTATAATAATCTATTTGAAAACATTTAATATTCCTCAAACATTTCGTGATGGTACGGGAAGTTCCGGCAATTTGCCTTGAAGCACAATGCCATGCACCACTAGTCTTTGATTCACATTTAAAAATATATTATTTTACATGTTTATTTTACTCAAACTTTACATTTTACAAAAGATATATAGAACAAATGAAATGTTTAAAACAGACTTTTAAAATAAATGTTAAATGAATAAAACAGAGCAAATACTATTTATTTATGACAAAAATTATCCTGTGACAAAAATATTGAAAATTGTTTTTGTTTTTTTTTTTTTAATTATAGTTGCAAGTAAGATTATTAGTAGAGAATGGGTGCAGTTATGCCACTTTTTTCGATCAGCAATAAATTTGTTAATATACAATTTAAACATTTGTCTACGTGAAAATACTGAAATACTATCAAATCATACAAAAAAGGACGAGTATCACAACTGACAAAGGTCAAGAACCAATAGGTGTAAACACCAAAATGGTTTATAACGACTTTTATTGCCGTTAATAGCAATAATATGTAATACTACATAACATGAACATTTAAACAAAGCTTATGAATAACAAAACATATTTTTTTAAGTTAACAAAAATTCTTTGTGAAATCTTTTTTTATATATTAAATTTTTCTTTTCTATTCTCTTTCGTATGTTAAAAAACGGCCCTCTAGCACTTCCCCCCCCCCCCTGGTGATACGATGAGGTTGGAAATAGGGTTTGTCGATTTTGAAAAACCGTTTTTTTGGCGAAAATTATGGAATTCAAAAACCGGTTGTTAGTGAAAAAAGTCGGTTTTCACTGCATAAATGTAAAATAACAAATATTGCCAAATATAAAAGAAAGATGAAAGCGTTTTGATTCTTGAAATCATATTAATTCAATAGCATTTGATATCTTATCAGTCTGCAATGGTTCCCAAAAATCTTTTGTATATAATAAATTAGATTTTTATACCAGTGTATATATTAATTTAAATCAATGTGGCTTCTCTTCTTCTTTCTTGAAGAAGTAACTTCCTCTACTCAAACTTTAAAAAAAGAGTTTTAAACCCTAGAACCCACAAATCAAAGAACAAAAAACTTGGAATTAATGGCTTTAAAAACAATTAAGCATAATTTGGTCGCAAGTATGAGATTATTTTCTATTTCAGGAAATTTTGTGAGTAAACAAAGGACACGTTTTTGTATAAAGCCTAGTTGGAAACCACTGTCTTATTCGGAGCACAACAGAAATCAAGTTTTAGTATATTACGATTTTTTCCAGAATTTAATAAATAAAATTAAGAAGCAAAAGTTTTTGTTAAGTTAATCTTGACTTATAGTTTACCTTTGGCAATCATACGGGTCTGGAAATGTGCCTTCTTTTGTGCAGTACATCTGACCAGGAGATTTGCATGGGCCAGGTTCGGAAGAGCATTCATTCTTAAAGATATTACATTTTTTGTCGCCACTGCAACTTTCAACTTCAACTCTTGTCCAGGAATTCTCTTCCTTGATACATAAAGCCATGGAATTGCAGTCATCAGAGCATATTAGTCCTGATGTTCCTCGTCTGGCGCAATCTGATTCGTGACGAGCCAAAAATGCTTGGGAAAAGCTGGCTACGCCCTATTCAAATGATTATTTTGGTATATGTTTACATTATCCTATATATATATATATATATATATATATATATAACGAAAATTTGTTTATTATAATCAATTTATGCCTCAAGTTAATTCTGCCCGAAGAACATAAAATCGTTAAAGAGAAAGAGGTTATTTATCTAACTTAAAGGGTTTGTTCGCTTTTTAATGTAGAAATTTGCGTTTTGGACAACCTGATATCAAGCGTTAGTGATATTCACTTTCACTTGAAAATATAAATAAAGAGATGTTTTTAAGTGAAAATAGTTCTTCGCAGCATAACTACATTAAATTAAAAAACATACAAGCTCTATTAGACAAAATTTAATAATTCCTTCTGAAAAAGCGTAATTAAAAATCATCACAGCAGCCTATAAGACTCTTATGATCGCTTTTAAAATAAATTCAAGTAAATAAAATCTCATGTAAATGATGACAATTTTTTTCTATCAAGTTTAATAATAAAATAAACAGATTATAATGTAATGAAATATTTTATTATTCTACTTACCAAAGTAACAAAAATGAGAATAGAGGCCTTCATGGTATTTGTTTATAATCACTGTATATAAACTAATAATTGCAATAATCGATTATGTGCATTGGAGTTTCATATATACTGTAATTTTTCAGAGATGCCAAACCATTTTTGCAATCATTGATCAATGACGAGAAAAAAATTAACTAGTGGGGTGTATGGCATCGTGCCTTAAGGCAAATTGCTGGAACTTCCCGTACCGTAACGAAATGTTCAAGGAATATTGAATGTTTTTAAATAGATTAATATAAATATTGTAACATTGTCTAATATTTATAAGAATTATATAAACTGAATTGCAAAGTTGAAATTATTTGATTAAAGTATATTAGAGCTTTAGTCACAATTAAAAATAAAATCAAAATTATTTTTAATAAACGAAAAAAAACTTTTTTTTGATAAAAAAAAATTGAAAAAAAATTTTGAAACAAATTTTTTTTTCCAAAATCAATTATTTTGTTAAAAGAAGCAGAAAGTTCCTTTAATTATTTAAATCGGACGCTTAGTTTTCTCAAAAATTGTTATTTTTTGCACATTTAGCTGTGTATCTTCAAAATGGCTAAGCCTGCCTTTTAACTAATAATCTAATCATTACTAATTGAATGTTTTTTAGATCATTCAAATCGGATGCTCCGTTCTCTTAAAAACACGATTTCTATTTTCTGCACTCTCTGCTCTTTTTTTCCGTAAAAAACTAATCAGCACATCTCCCTATCAATAGGAATCGAATGTTTTTTGAACCATTCAAATCGGTTGAACCGTGCGCCCAAAAACGTGAACAAAAAAATGCGGATACACAAAACACACACACACACATCCAATTTTTCTGCGATATGCCAAAACGTTCAGAAACTTTCAGAACGTCGAGAAATGCAACAATGCAATGGACGATTACAATAACTTACCCTACGGGATGTTAAACAGAATGTAATCAATTATTATGAATATATAAAATATAGCATCAAAACTAAATTCATATGGGGTTTGTTTTACTATAATTCCGCGATTTCATTTAAGTATACATATATATAATACGGTTGATCGAATTGGAACAATGAACCATTTAGTATTTTTTAATTCCACGTGACGCCAGACAGTGTATTTAAATTTTAATAATAAAAAACAAAACTTGCTGCATTGTCCACGAAATGCCATTTTAGTTGAGATCAACCTGAAGTGAACATCTATAGATGTATTATATAGTATATTATAATATCATACTGCCTAATATATATATATATATATATATATATATATATATATATATATATATGTTGTGTGTTTTTTAATCATATATTTATATTTAATATAATCTGCACATAAAAAAGATAGCGGTTAACATCCGGACTAACTCTGAAATGATATGGAGGTAATAAACCAAACCAAATATAATAAAATTCATTTATTTAAATTAAATATTCAAATTATATGTATTAAAAGAAACTATGGGTTGTTCTTTGCTGTTTTTTCACTAATCTAATCTTTGAAACGTTAATGTTTACAAAGACTATTGATATCAATCAGTGAAATTCACAGAATATGTTATATAAAAATAATTGTAATTAAGTATCGGTAAATTTCTTTGTATTATAAACTCCTTTGTTGATACCGCTATCTGTTAAAGATTTGAGATTTATATCGTAACAACTTGATTTGTGTCGTAGATTTATCTACGTTGTTATTTTATCTCTCAACTTTTGCGAACATTTCTGCCGCCTGATATCGGCAGTTTTTTTAAAGCAAAGAGCATATTGAAATTTTTCAATTGAAGAGAATATTATTTCTAATTTATTATTTATTTAATAAATAGTGTTTAGGACTTAAATAGATTGATATATTTAGCTTAAACAAAACCTGTCACATATACACATAGCCATACATACACACACATACTTTTTCCGAATTTGGTCTCATTCGATTCAGGATGACTTAACGTATTTTCATTCAAAATACGATTATTCTGTGCTTGTCTATACCTTAGAAATGATGTATGTGTATGTGTGTGTGCTTGGATACAAATTATCTTCGACGATTTCAGGAACACGGTTCAACCGATTTGAATAATTCCAAAAACATTTGGTTCCTATTGAAAAGGAGATGTGTTGATTAGTTTTTGGCCATAGCAGGTTCCAGCCGTTTCAAAGATACGAGGCAAAAATGTTACCAAAAATGGTAACTCAGTTTTTTAGAGAACAAAGGAGAACGATTTCAATCATTCAAAAAACAGTTTAGTTGTATTGACAAAATAAACTGACTGAATTTTTGGGAAGGCAACGGTCAAGCATGATCAGAGATCTAGTGAAATAGGTGATCAAAAAGAGCTCAAAATTTTTAAATAATGTCAAAATATGAACAAAATTAAATTTTTCTAAAGAAATCTTTTTTTCAAAAATTCTCAAAGATCTAATTTTATTAATGTATTCAAATCAAAAAAATATTTTTAGAATAAATTTTTTGAATATAAATAAAAATTTGTTTTTTTAGAAATTAATTTTTGGTATTGAATGTTTCAGCAATTTGCCTAAACGCACAATACCATGCACCACTAGTTACGTTTATAATAAACAATTAAATCTTTTTTTTTAATTTTTCTTAGGGTAAGTTATAGTAATCGCAAAAAAATCTAAAATGAATTTTTTTTCAAAGGTTTCAAAGGTTTTTCAACATTTTGGTGAAGAAAAAATGGTAGGTGTGTGTATGTGTGCGTGTGTGTGCGTGCGGATACAATATTTTGTGAATGATTTTGAGAACACAGATCAACCGATTTGAATAATTCAAAAAGCATTCGATTCCTATTGATAAGATGGCGTGTTGATTAGTTTTTGGCAAAATCAGGTCAAACCGTGTCGAAGATACGGGGCAAAAAGTGCCAAAAATGATATTTCTGTGTTTGAGAGAACGTCCGATTTGTTCTGATCATGTTTTCAGATATTTTATAAAGATTTTAATAATAAATACATATTTTGTTTAATTTATATACACAAAGTGTTTACCAACCACTTTAAAACAGTTATGCAGCGGGATTGCTTTAAAAAAATGATCACAATTTTCAAAAAATTTCAAAATATAAAAAGAAAATTCAAATTGTTCAAAAAGTTTTTTGTTAGTCTAGTTTTTAGTACGGGAAGTTCTAGCAATTTGTCTTAAGGCACGATGCCATCCACCACTAGTTAAAAATGTATCGGTAAATATTTTTCTTCATAAGATTTATACATACGCTCTGGCAATACTAAAGTTGAATTGACATTAAGCTGCAAGTTGGTATTAAGCATCATTGCATGACTATTCAGAAATAAATACTAATTTCATTTTGACTCAAAGAAATTGTTTTGTAGTGATATATTAATTTATAAAGCATATAAATATTGTTAATAAATAAATAATGGCTGCTGTAAATAGTGTAGTTGCACTATATCAGCAATTGAAAACAGAATGGGGAAAAAAAACACCCAACTTGGATAAATGCGGTAACCTTTTATCTCAATTAAAGGTACATTGTCATATAGATATATTAATATTCGAAACTAAAAAGAAACTTAATACAAAGTGTCTTGTTTTAGGTTGGACTAACACAATTAATGTTTCTTCCAACTTCTAACTCAGTTGCCTCTGAACAAGAGTTATTACTGGCGAGAGACATTTTAGAATTGGGGGCTCAGTATAGCATTTCAGCTAAAGATATTCCTTCTTTTGAGCGATATATGTCTCAACTTAAGTGCTATTATTTTGATTACAAGTAAGGTTATAATTAAAAGCATATAAAGCCATTTACACATTTCATCATTAATTCTAAAAATCAGAATTATTTTCATTTATATATATATATAGTATTTATTATTTACATTTATACCGTGTTACGAGTTAATTATAGAATAGCTTGGTGAAGATTGATAGTTACATGCTTGCTGCAGTTTTTTTAATACTTTAAATACTAATTGTACTACAATGAGTACAATTAACATTATTTATTAAATATTTTCTGGTACTGCTACTTCTACATATTTCTTAAAGTAAACTATTTTATATGTATATATATATATATATATATATATATATATTTACAAAATTCATTTATCTTTGTTTTATAATGATATAACATTTTTTAATCATCCTCAAAATATGAAAATTCAATTAGCAATTATTTTTTTTCAGAGGTAGATTACCAGAATCCGCATATAT